GGGAATTCGGGACTCACGTGGGCGTTGAGGGCGTCGTTGGCCTCGCGCTCCGAGAGGCCGCTGGTCAGAGAGGTCACGATCCCCACACAGCGCTCCAGCCTCTGGGAAAGGGGGAAAAATGGGAAAAACGGGGGAAAATGAGAGAAAAACGGGGGAAAACGGGGGGAAATGGGGGAAAACGGGGGAAAAATGAGAGAAAAACGGGGAAAAATGGGGGGAAATGGAGAAAAATTAGAGAAAAATGGGGGAAAACAGGGAAAAACGTGGAAAAATGTGAGAGAAATGGGGGAAAAATGGGGACAAATGTGAGAAAAAAGGGGGAAAGCGGAAAAAAACGGTAAAAACAGGGAAATACGTGGGAAAATGGTGAGAAACGGGGAAAATACGGGGAAAAGTGGGGGGAAATGGAGGAATAATGAGGAAATGGGATAAAATAGGGAAAAATTAGGGAAAACCTGGGAAAAACTCCATGGGGATTTGGGGGAATTTGCGACCAGGAGGATTTCAGGGAAGGTTTGTGTCCCGGTATCTCCCGGTGTTCCCGTTATCCCGGTATTCCCGGTGCCCCGTCTTCCCCATTATGCCCGCATCCCGATGTCCCCGTTATCCTGTTATTCCCGGTATTCCCATTATCCCCGGTGTCCCGGTATCCCCGTTATCCCGGTATTCCCATTATCCCCGTTATCCCGGTGCTCCCGGTGTCCCCTCACCTCCTCCAGCTCATCCTTGGAGTCCAGCAGCGAGCACAGCAGGAGCTTCCCGCCCGCCGCCGCTCCCGCCTTGCCCTTGGCGAGCTCCATGGCCCGGGCGGGCACCGGCAGCGAACCGGGAGCGGCACCGGGAGGGAACCGGGAGGGAACCGGGACGGGGCCGCCCTTCCCCGGGGGCTCCGACCTGAGACCCCCCCGCGTGGGGGCCCGGGCGCCCCCTCCCAGCCCGGCCCGGCGGGATCGGCGGCGACCCCCGGGAATTCCGCGCTCGGGAGCGGCGGCGGGCTCGGTGATGGGGGAGGCGGGGACGGGCCCGCGGAAGGTGCCGGCCGGCGGAACGGCGGCGGGGCGGCGAGCAGGGGCCGGGCCGGGCCGGGGTCCCCGCTGGGTCCCCGCTGGGGCCGGGCCGGGGGAGGCGGCGGCGGCCGGAAGTTACCGGGGAGCGACGGAGGCGCCCGGCCGGAAGCGGAAGCGGCGCGCGGGAGGAAGGCCCCGCCCTTCCCGCCGCCGCCGGCCAATGGGAGCGGCGGGACGGGGGTGAGTGACAGCTAGCGGGGCGTGGCTTGGGGGCGTGACACAGG